TGGCCGCCCCGGACCCCCGCCCAGGGGCGGGCCTCGCCGCTGCCTCGCCCCGCCCCTCGCACCCCTGAGGGGATGAGGCGAGGGCGCGGGACCGCGCGTCGCACGGTGAAATTATCCCCCAGAGACCGGCCGGCCGCGCGCGGGGCGGCCAGCGGGCAGCTCCGGAGCTCTGTGCACGCCACGAGGCGCCGGGGCTCCGAAAGGGGCAGGGAAGGAGCCGCGGCAGCCGCGAGCACTGGTCACCTGGCCCTGTTGGGTGACTGGGGAGCAGGAGCCAGGCTGAGCTATTTGGTCCATAACACCAGCTGCAGGAAGGGCCCAGGCTTGACAGAAATCACGCAAAACAGCGTTTTCAGCGGCTCCGGAGCTCTGTGCACGCCACGAGGCGCCGGGGCTCCGAAAGGGGCAGGGAAGGAGCCGCGGCAGCCGCGAGCACTGGTCACCTGGCCCTGTTGGGTGACTGGGGAGCAGGAGCCAGGCTGAGCTATTTGGTCCATAACACCAGCTGCAGGAAGGGCCCAGGCTTGACAGAAATCACGCAAAACAGCGTTTTCAGCGTGGTGCTGGGCCAGCTCACGGCAGCTGATGTGTCCACAGTTGCCCCTTCAAGCAATGAAGGGCCCGTTTGGAGTGAGGAAAAACAGGGCAAAGGGGGCCCTTGCTCTCATCTCCATGCATCCAGTTCCTTCCTGGAACTTGCTCTCCGGAGCAAGGGGCTCCTTCCCTGCCCTCCGCCTGTCGCGGAAGCAGCAGCCCAGCCTCAAGGCATCCAGCATTTTGGATTCTTTCTGTCAAAACCTCACTGCAAACCCCAAGGCAAGCTGCGAGGCAGAACACTGTGGAGATGAAGTCCCAGGGGAGCAGACATAAGGATGGGACAAGGCAGACAGCTGCCTTAGTCTTCCCTCTTCTTCCTTCTTTACCAAGGCTGTTTCCAAGTCTCTGCTCCTGGATCCAGGGGCTACAAATCATCTATTTGCTCCTTGGTTGCTTTTGCAAGAAGTAAAGTGTAGACAGACACACAAGGCCCCTCCTGCAGGACCCACAGCAGCACCTGGCTTTGTCCATTACCCCCACATCAAACCTGCTGCAGGAATAACCATAGGCTTGCATGGATTTCTGAGAGTAAAAGGATTTCCCCCAACAGACAGGAGCAGAGGGATGCAGAGCTCACTGCTCAGAACACCCGAGACCCCTCTCCCCGAACGAGGCATGTGGCTGCAGAGCGCAGAGGTGCTGCTTTTTACAGTCTCTGCCCCTCTGACTGCAGGAAGGAGCAAATATTTCATTAAGTCGGTCAACCTTCTCGGTCCTTGATGGTGACAGCTTCCCCCGTGCCACAAAATGGCCTTTCGTGGAGGCTGCGGCAAAACTGTGACTCAGGCAGCAGTCACGCTTAGCTGAGGTCTTACACAAGACCTTCTAGCAATATTATTCTTCATATCACCCATTTGCTCCTATCAAGGTTAAAATACCGAAGTCTCAAGCCAGTTTACTGGAATAAAAAAAAAAAGTCTTAGGTACAAAGTTAACCTGGAGGGCCTCCACTTCCAGTCATTAAAAGCTTCCATATCATTTCCACCTGAAGCTCAGTGTACCCTGGAAATACTACAGAACAGGAGAAGCCTTAACTGCCTACAGGCGTGATGGTGTTCACCACAGTACTTCATCTCAACACAGCAGCACCAGTTATATTTAGCAACTATAAAGGCTTTATTTTTACAGTATATAAAAATATAGGAACAAAATATTACACAAAAATATAAAGTTAAGAGATCTTCCCTCTTTAGGAGGTAAAACACAAGCAGGATTTAACCTGCACATCCCGGCTTTCAGAAAGGAAAATTGCTCTGCTGGTTTAAGCAGTAACGCACTGAATCTTTCAAACCCAACATACCCAAACACAACTGGGCCACAGCAGTGCCACAGGAGAGGTTTCCAGCAGAGGAAGCTTTTCTTGCACCTCCGTTATGATCCTTGCAGCTCAGCTTTTGAGAAGCACAAAAAAAACAAGCGCTGTTTCATGATCTGCCCCGTCTCATTCCCCGCATTCACCGTACTGCAGCGACGCAAAGAACTTGCCGCCCAACACACTCCCTCCCAACTTGCCATCCCCGCAGCGCTCCACAGGCGACTGCAGTTCCCTTGGGCACAAAGGTAACTGGAAACTGTCTGCAAGCTGCTGGTGAGCTGGCACCTAGGATTTAAGCAAGACAAAAACTGATGAAATGCCTGAGTTTCTACAGCTGTCTATAAAAGAGCAGCTAATATTCTCTTTCCATGGTATTGGCTGTTTCAGTACATTGGTGTCTTTAAGGGCATCACGGACACAACAGCACAAGTACAAGAGTCATCTCCCTCCTTTTATCTGTTTCTCTAGCATTATGGAGGCTTTGTTTTCCAAGACCAAGTTGTGCAAGCTTCCTGGGCTGCTGGGGAGAGGAAATGGAAGACAGTTAAGAAGACACAGTGCAAGTTATGTGCTCATGACAAAATGCAAAGAGATTCCAAATTTTCTATGCCACAAGAGAGGTCTCTCCCTGTGAGCAAAGAACTATTCGCTTCCTTTGCCCGAGACCTTCGAAAGGAAGAATATAGGAAGATGTTCTCTAAAGCAGCAAACTTGTTTTACGCTCAGTATCAACAATTCTAGGGAGATGCCAAAATTGCTCCCTTTTCATCACTCACTAGTCACAGCAGGACTCCACAAGAAAGTGCAGTGGGAGCCACAGATCTTCAAGTTCCCTTTATTTTGTTGATTCACAGAAAAGATTGGCAAGTCCCTGGACTGTATTCCCACCAGGAAAAAAAAAAAAAAGTGTACCAACACAACCTGGAGACAGTCCAAGAATTATTACTGTGCTGAGGCAGCTTGCTGAGTTGGGCTGAAGAAAAATGACCAGAGAAGAAACAAGCACAGAGCTAGAAAGGAGCACGGAGGAACAGGAGAAGCGCTCCAGGCACCAGCGTGTCCCAATTCCTGCCTGCCAGCAGGGAGGTGCAGTGGCAGCTCTTGTCTCCTGCAAGCAGCACGTGCTGGGAAGCTCAGCCTGGGGCTGGGCCGTTGCCGTAGGCCAGCAGGGCCGGGTGATCCGCAGTGGAAGGGGCGCAGACACCTGTCACAGCCAGCTGTAGATCTTGACCATTTTCTCGGTGAGCGTAGCCAGGAGGGACGTTTGGTTCACTTCAAAGGGGCAGATGTCCAGCACGGGTAGGTCAGCCTGCAGCTTCTGCAATAAGGTGCCACTTGCAGCATCCCATAACTGTGGGGCAGAAAATTGCAAGATTGTAGGATCCCTCTCTCCCATTCAAAACGGAGCTCCCTTTCCCTAGGGAAAAGGCTTCCCTTCTCACCGAGATGTTTCTTGGCCCCTGCGCACTCCGAGGCGCTGCTGTGCCTTTCCACTCAGCCCCTGAAGAGCCAGTGCTGCCACTAGCCCATCTAGGACATCTCCAATAAAGAGGAGCAACTTTGGGCAGTTCTGTCCAAATCTGGGTTAGAGGTTTGTACCGATAGCATGAAATTAAGACAAACAAACCACACTTCAAACCCATAGTTTCCCATGGCAGGTCTGCTCTAAACACAGAGCAGTGCATGTCACCTACCTTGATTTTAGCAGGGCTTTCACAGCCTTCTCATCCCGATGTCACCAGTACCTGATGTTTGTGCCTATATGGCTGCTAAACTGCTGCCTCTGGGCTTTAAAGGTGTGGTTAATGGTTTGCACTAGACCCAAAGGCCCTTTTTACTTTGGGGTTCAGCTGTGAGAAACTTGTTTAGCCCAGGCAGAGGCCAATCTATCTACTCCTTCTGCTGAGCATCAGGATTAACAGACCTTGTGCATGGAGGTGGATGTCCTTTAGAACCTGCCATTCCCAACCATCTTCGACCTAACAAACCACCTCCCCAGGATCCCTTCTCTACCCATGCTCTGAATAAGCCAAGTTGCCCCTTCTGAAGGCCAGCTTGTTTCCTCCTACTTGCCTTCCCCACACCCCTCAGCCCAAACTTCTCTATTTCAGGGTCACTGCAGCCAAGGCTGTTGATTATCACATCCTTGACTAGTTCTTACTTGTTTGCTAAAGAGACTTACAACAGTATCATCCCATCCACTTGTTCCCACAGCTGTTCCCAGGGCCCTCCAGAAACCTGCTGGGCTGACTCCCACTAAGCTGCCCTTCCCATAAATGCCGGGGAAATGGAAGTCCCTCCCAGAATCAGGGTTTGTGATTTGAGCAACTCAAACGACTTGGAGATGACTTGATTCACTTTCTCACTCTGCTTGTGTGGTCCACAACAGACTCCCCCCATGACATCACTCTTATTGGTTTCTTCTCTGATCCTAGGACTCGGGTAGTCCATCCTCTAAGCTGCTCTTCCATATGAAGGACAACCATTCCTGCCTATCCTGCCTATTTTTCTTAAAGAGGCTGTGTCCATCCATCCCAGCGCTTTCCACACAAGCTACCTGGCTAATATCAGGCCCTGCCCATGCTTTGGTGGAGCATGAAAGACCTGTGTGCTTGCCAATCTGCACGGAGCAGCGCTTCAGACAAGGTAACTTCTACAATAACAGAAATGCTGTGCCCGAGAAGGCTTTGCCCCTAAGCATTGCAAAACACCTTCCATTACACAAAGGGAAAATGAGATACCATGGCAGAATTAGACGCCTCATCACCAGCACACACAAAGATGCTGCCATCCTCCTCTGGGCTCTGAAAAATGGCATTTTTGGTCAGCAACTTGCAGGTGGGGCCGGCACTGAAAGTCTGAACTGGGTTAGAAGAGCACACCACGTCCTCAGAGGCTTCTGTCAGGGGGCTGCAGCTCAGCTCCATCATCACGCAGCGCACGCAAGGGTTGTTCTTACCTGCAATGTGGCAATAAGAAGGTAGACTTAAAATTTCCATGGAAGAAAGTTTCCCCATGATAAGCTATCCAGGAAAGAGTTAAACTGCAGAGGAGAAAAGGCCAAGGCAAAGTTAGGTAGGAAAATGAGCACCATCCCTTTGCAGCTTCCCCATTTCTTAGCTACGAGCAGATAGGAGGTTCCTTAACGAGGCCAGGGCAGTGAGGGACAGCGCAGCAGCCGCGCGCGGCCCTCACGTACTCGGCCGGTAGGTCGCGAGGCAGTGGCGCGTGGTGACCTCCGTCTGGATGTCGATGCAGCCGCCGGGCTCCACGAGCAAGTGGTGAGGCCGGTAAGAGGTCCCAGCTTTCTGCTCCCAAAAGCAGGCTCCTTCCAAGGTCCCAGCTATTATTCCACCGTAGGGCAATGACGCTGAGGCCATTCGTGGCAGGTATGACAGTGACACCATGGGGCACCTGCAAGTACAATTAGCAGGAGTCGGCGCTGCGGCAGCTGCACCAGTGAGGCTGGTATTCTGCTCAGCGCTTCAGAGCCACCCTCCTTGCAACCACTCTCTTCAAGAACAGATCTTGAAGAAAAACCATGCCATAATTCAATTAAGTTAGGTTGGGTCTGTTTCATTTGTCAATAAAATTACAAATATGGCTACAAAGCAGTCCTTAAAGGATGGAAACGCAGTGGGTTTGCCAGGAGTAAGATTATGGACCTCAACACTATTACTGAACTTGCTGTTTTTAGGAAGCATCACACAACACCCACGAGGTGTGGCACAGTTCACAGCTTTAACCCCATAGCTGTGCAAGGCACAGCAGGCCCCTGCAGCAGCAAAGCAGCGTTTGTGGAAGATGCTTCCTTTCCTGAAGGACAGACCAACTTCTGAGCAACAGAAGCAGCTCCCCCGAGACATTTAAATGGGAATCTCTGGCACCTCAGAGACCCACCTCAGCATGCCCTGCGCTAAATCCCTCAGCCCATTCCTATTTTGGCAAGTCAGCCTTCTTCGGTCTTCATGCTGTGTAAATCCACACGCGGCTCTCAGGAAATCCCTCCAAGATACACTTCTAAATCCGCGTTTGATCCCCCTGCCCCGAGTAGAAGAGCTGGAAGTGCTAGTGTCCCTCAGACCTCTAATTTCAAAGGGAAAAGTTACAAACACTAAACCCAGCTCCCACACCGAACAGTTGGAAGTGCAGCAGTAATACTACACTGGGCTGCTCTACTGGGTCCATTTCTGATCACTGCAAGCCTTAAGGAGATGCAGGAGCCACATGCTCATACTCAATTCTGCATGTATCACATGGCCTTATGGAGGGCTTGACACAGTTCTGCTACATTTGAGGGGGCTGTTTTTCAAAAAACAGATTCACACGCTCCCAAAGCCCTTCACATCATTACCACTGTAGTATGATTTATGGAGGAAGCCACGTTCAGCTTGAAGTACACTGGGGAAGTTGAGAGGCAGCAAAAAATCCTTAAGCCAACCTGGACTTCTGAGGGGTCAGCTCCTGCACATGAGAACTTGTGTCTCTCAAGTCATACACCATGACAGAGCCATTCACCAGCCCAGCGTAGATGTAGTTTGTATCATCAAGACACCAGCAGCAGCTCCAGACAGGACGGCCAGTGTTGTATGTCTGTACCACAGTGTTTGTTGCCAAGCTGTGGGAGGAAAGCCAAGTGTCAGCCCTTCACACAAGCATCTATTGATGAGAAAACAGCATAATCAAGGCAGGCAAGTGTAGCTTTTTAAAGTCTTTAGGAAGAAATATATCCCTTTTCAGGCAGAGTGCAACTTGGCCAGTACTCCAGACATTAATTTGAAAGATCTAGACAGAATAATCACTTTGAAATTGTCAAGTGATTTACAGCTCTTCACCTTGGGTGATACTTCCTTTTCCAGAGCGGCCTTTGGAGACTGGCAGAGCAGGGTCTCAGCCGCCTTACTGGAAAGGGAGAGTTAAGTTACTTTTCTGGAAACAATTAGGAGAAGCCTCTTTAGTGTAATCCCATGATACTGCATATTCCTGAGATCACAGGTCTTTGAATTGAACCTCTGGTTAATTGTTTCCCTCTGCCCTTTTTGAGGGGAACAGCACTTATGTCTTAAAAAGAGTCCAATTTAAACAACAGTGAGCCACTAAGTGGGGTAAAGAGAAACAAAGAAAAGATGAAGGCAATAAACAGTATAAACTGAATGCTTTTAAATCTTTAGAAAAAGAATTTGTGGAAGGTTGGGGTGGAGGGGGCATAACCCCAAAAAGCAGATGAAATTGCAAATATGTTCTACTGTGACACCAAAAACAGGTACCATCACTGCAGGCTGAGCACACGGAGCCTGGAGTGAGGCAGAGGACAGCGCGTGGAACAACCACAGAGACGAAACTGGTGAAAAGTAACAACAGGGAGTTTTCTATCAGATCAGTGACTAGTTTCAAACAGAAGAACCTCAAAGCCTTGGTGCTATTTTAAACACTTGCAAGCCAGAACAGGGAGACCTCAGTGGCTGAATACCACTTTTGGTGGCACAACCAGAAAACATGGAAATAGGAAGTTTCCAGAGAATTTCTTAGTAACTAAAGGAAGATGACAGAACCAGGAGCATCATTGGGGGACTAAAAGAAATAGGAATATGCTGCTGAAGCAAGTGCTTGTCTCCCACACACTCAGAGATCAAGCACAAAGGCAAGAAAATCCCAAGTCCTGCCACATCCAATCAGGCCTTGGGAGGCAGATTTGGGAGTCAAGTGTCTGAACAGATACTGTGACGAGGTGCCACGCTCCAGATTAAGCTGTGAAAAGATAACAGCCTCGTTGGTTAGAGATCTGACGTGCCAATCTCAGCATCGTAGACTGGCAGTTCTGTTTATTTTGAACGAGTCTGGCAAACATTTCAAAAT